GTGAATTTTTGTGATTTGGGGGGTGGGGGGGATTTCATATTCATGGGAAGGGTTGTTTGACGCAAGAGTTTTCGCGGTGTAATTGTCAGGAATATTTACATTGGAGGGTTGCAGTATCTGTGTACCATCAGGGTCGTGAATTTATTTTCATTTTTCTTACAACTTCATTGGTTACCTTCCTTCTTCGACTTTGTGAATTATGTCCTCGTGCCTGTTTGTGTTCAAGATAAACCTGAAACAGTGTGCACATTTGGCCAGAGGATCAGCGTGTCTGTTGTTTATTAATTTCGACATTTTACAGAAGGTTTGTCCCGGATGTGTGAAACAGCTGTAAGTCTCTTCTCTTTACACGCACAGAGGAACAAGTTTATATGACATACGCTTCATTTGCAATTAAATTTATGTATAGCAACGCTGTTCGTCGTGGTAAAATGTGCCGTTTTCTGCTGTTTGTTTACAGAATGCACACCCCCTTTGTCGCCCATATGCGAAAACATAAGATTAAATTCAGGCATTGTAAAAGGCCTATGAAATTTGTCGTTTGATGTTGGCAGCACGTGTGTGAACCTCTGTGGCGGTGGCAGCCCTGTAAATTCTTGTGCGAATGCTTGCTAGTGCTTACGAGACGTAGAGTTCAAGGCTTTCAGTTTCGTGGTGTTACGTCTTCCGATGGATCTCCATTATTGTGTAATGTGATCACAGTCCATTATCTGCCACAACTTCTCTGTGCTTTGTTTCCGGGTTCATATTTCGGCCCGGAGACTGTCAATCATGATTGAGGTTTTCGTGTTTTTTCTACATCCTTCCAGGCACTGTAATAGCATATTAAATTAGGCTACGACGGCTACCTTCTATGCCTTGTGAGATAGGTAAACCGATAATGACAAACCAGTATCGGAGTGAAAAGTTGGTGCCGAACATTACGGAGTTGTGTTAGCACACGAGAAACAGAATTCATTGCCCCCCCCCCCTCCCCAATTCTTACCGATTTGCGTTCTTCATAGCGAGAAACATATATTTGTATTGTTTGTTGGGTTAATTTTTCTCCGTTGCTTTTTTTACCTGATAATTTTGATCATTATGATTACTTTGGAATGGCCGGAAGTGGCCTTGAACTACGGAATACAAATAAGGGTCTCTAACGTGTTGTTCACTTGTTTTGTGCTTTCGACCTATTTCGATATTATCATCCCATCTGCACTTCGGTATTCCGAATGATCTGTTTCCTTCGTGTTTTACAAGCAAAATTTTTACGTATTTATTTTCCCCGCTAAGCGTTACATCGTTTGATCGTAATAAAAATGTTTGATATTTTGTAAACTTTTGGTTTTTACGGTGAGGGGTTTTACACAGAATGTGAAGGTGACTGGCTTACAGTGGGGAAAAGGAAGTCGCTGTATCCAAAGATTTCGCAGCTGCTTAACTGTAACCCTACCCACTAAACACAGATGAAAATGAGCTGTCTTTATACGTACACATCAAGAATATTTTAAACTGCCCACATATATGTTGTCTTAATAAGGGAAACGTGACCGATATGTGTTTAATGTCAGCAGACATGACACTACCGTTCGATGCGTGGGCTGCATAATGCATTCCAGAACCTCGTTTATATACTCTCATCGTCATGTAATCACCATTTCGAAATGTATGCTCCATGTCCTGATATAGTGTGACGTGTGTTTTCCTTCTTTCTGCCGGGGATGGACAATTATTTTCGGACATAAAGTAAGCAGACGAATGGATAGGTAGATTGACGGCAGATGAACACGATCTCCCAGTTCCAAGTTCGTTTCACGCGCAAGTGTAAGGAACAACGGCTCAAGTGTCAAAAAAGGCGAATGTGGCAGTAATTTCATCATTTGGTTCAATTACCTGAAGAAATCATAGGATAAAACTGGCGGGGTTGATGATTACGATGTATTACACAGAGTTATGGTTTGAAATTAGGTGTTTTATCACCAGGATCCAGGATAAAATCACCATGTAAATATGTTAATAATTAGTACGTGGTAAGGCAAATCCTCTGCACGCAGGCTTCATGTCTCAGATTGTGCGAGGATAATTATAAGACCTGTACCTTCACAGGACAACACGCAGATTCGCACACAAATACGTAGGGTCACTTCCGCCCAACTTCACTTTCAGTTGTGGCATAATTTTGTTTGGCGAGTCAATTGATTTTTCGCGAAGACTGTCTGTCTTTCTGTAACGCGACATGCAACATACTCGTACGCGTGTTAATTGCCCCTTTGAAAAGACGAACTGCGTCCAAGTCTTTGGCACCGTTATAGCCCAGATGGGAACGTCTCAGTTTCTGTAGGTTGAATTAAACCTGCTAAGCAGGTTTAGAATGTTGACACCTTTTATGCCCGGCCGATTACCGTTCCCCTTCGTCTTTTATGTTGGTTTCCGTCTTACTGAAGGAACAATCAGTACTTACCGGTTTACCGACTTTTTTTTCGTTAAACTAGCAGTTGTCTGTAGCTAATGAAGTAAGGTTCTAACATGTAGTCGGGAGTGACGAATGGAAAGTTGTAGTCCAGTCCAGTTATAAATACAGCAGGTTATCCTTTGCTGTAGGATACCTTCCTTGAAAATCGTTCGCTGAACGACAGTCCCAAAAGTTGTAATAGTCACATTATTTTGCAGGCCGTAACTGCATATGCCGTCATCTGAGATTTTACATATGAATGTAAATAATGGTAACGTAAAAAACCGAACTGCATGCAGCAGATTCCTTCTGTAGAAGCTAACAGCCGCTCCGGTGATTAAGGAATTCCACACCCTTTATGGTATCGTTTTTACGAATACATCACTGGACCCTACCCTGATAAAGCCGAATCCACTTCATATCGCCACGCCCGCATTCTTTCAAATAGATTGTAAACGTTGCCTTTCCCTGTAGTCTATTCTGCCTGTTCCTTGTAGTTTTTACGACGAAAATTTAAGTACAGTATTACTCATCTTCCCTACAATGCCACGCCATCTTATCGTCCTTGATTTGATCACCATAATATTTTATGGGTCTTTCCCTGGCGTTAAAACGGCCGGGGCTTGAAGCTGACCATTCACCTCCATATGGGGCCGAAGTCAAGAAAGAGAGGTGCTGTACCTCCACTACCCCACACGTCTTCGTGGTGTGGCACGTAATAAGCATCAAAGACAGGTTTTTTCTTCACATGCTGTGGAGTTCGTTAATCTATTTTCTCCAGCTTTCTGCAACTTTTCTCTTAAGTCAAAATATTTTCGTCAGCACCCTGTTTTCAAACTTTCTGTATCCGCCTGTATCCCTTAGGGTGAGAGACCCATTCTAAACACTAGGTAAAATCCGAAAACCCGGAGATGAAATTACACAAAGTTGTAATTCAATATTCTGTTTTATGTTCGTGTGAAACTTCATCTGTCACAGTAAAGGAAGAGTTTGGATTTTTTGAAGGGGACATGAAGGCTATGGAAAATACGTATTTGGACAAAAGAGAGAGAAAGTAACAAGCGGACAGGGAAAATTACATAATAAGGTAAAAGTTACACATGTATTCAAGCACCACGCCATGTAGACGTATTCGGGAATAGAGGCCAAACACCAAACACTCTTCATTTTGCATTTAGCTATATATGAACACATTGAAGAGCTTTATAAATTCTAATATTTGCCATATGTTATAGTGTGACGTTCGAATTGTCGGGAGATGTACGTTACATGAAGCCGGCGAAGAATTAACATACGGTGTTCTTGTTCTCAAATTGGAGAGTGCAGAACACCAAAGACGGAGGAATTTTTATCTATACTAGAGCAGGGCGCTCCTTTCGGAGCTCCTAAGGGGTTTGGTCAAGTTTGTAAAACGCAACCAAACTTGGTTAGTCACGAAGGGGAGTTAGTTTAGTGTCTCATTCAAGTGTTTTAACCCCTGAGTAAGAAACTAAACTATCCCTCCCGAATGGGGGGTTTAAACACTTGCCCAACCCCCCGAAGTGGTTAGGTTGCGTTTTAAAATCTTGAGTAAGACACTAAACTAACCCCCGTGCAAGTCTCCTTTTTTTCTCTTCTGTTTTTTGTTGAATAGTTCTGATGTTTTAGTTCTTTACGTCGCTGTTCAGAGGCCATCTGTTCTTGATCAGTCAACTTTCTACGTCCAGCAATACCATTGCTAATATTCTTCTGTTTTTTCTTTTTCTTTTTTTTCTCTTCTGTTCTTGTTGTATACGTTTTTCTACGTTTATCAATGTAACTCTCCCTTCGTTTCTCTTTATTTGTTAAATAGATCTGATGGATTAGTTCTTTACGACGGTTTTCAGAGGCTAACTGTTCTTGGTTAGTTAACTATCTACTTCCGAACCCACCCTTGCAAGTCTTTTTTTTCTCATCTGTTTTTTGTTGAATAGTTCTGATGTTTTAGTTCTTTACGTCGCTGTTCAGAGGCCATCTGTTCTTGATCAGTCAACTTTCTACGTTCAGCAACACCATTGCTAATATTCTTCTGTTTTTTCTTTTTTTTCTATTCTGTTCTTGTTGTATATGTTTTTCTACGTTTATCAATGCAAGTCTCCCTTCGTTCTTCTTTATTTGTTAAATAGGTCTGCAACTTAGTTCTTTACGTCGCTTTTCAGAGGCCAACTGTTCTTGGTTAGTCAACTATCTACTTTCAACCCCATCCTTGCAAATCTTCGTCTGTTTCTCTACGTGTGTTGTTAATATGGTCTCGTTTAACAGTGTAAGTTTTCTTGAATGATCAGTTTGACTTGGATGAATATTATTATCAGTATCAGATTACCTTGTTGGTGTTGGTAACGTCTTCACTTTTCTTCATTTCTTAAATAGTTCTGATGTTTTAGTTCTTTACGTCGCTGTTCGGAGACGATGTGCTGCTTCTGGAGCAGTGATAATGCGACTGGCTTGGTACTAAGCGTTATTTGTTTACTCGGCATTGTTGTGATGTACACGGCATCGTTGTTTCACAACAATGCTGAGTAAACAAATATATGTTGACATTGTTGATGACGTCATTTTTTGAAGACAACGACTAATCACAAATTTTTATAGTAGATTCTGTATTATCAAATTCAATGTAGAATTTCAATCCTGTAGGCCTCCCGTTTTGCTCCGTTTACGTCCTGCATATCTGCGGCTAGGTGACCCCCATGTTTCCGGAGTGCTACGACTGCAGTTTCCGTCGATGTGGTTGGCCACCAGGCGATGGTAACATGTGTACAATTGTTACAAGATACCATGGCCTGCTGCTTCCAGTTCTGTGTGTGAGGGTCTGATCGAAGGAGCACGGAATTTCGTTACAGCGGCTGGCGTCTTGTAATCGTACAGTTTGACCCTGATGCAAGTTACGAAGGGTTTGTCATGTGTGAAAATGTCGTACCGCCGATAACAGTGTATGTGAATTGTGTAATCCCATATACGCCTATGTTTAAACTTATGCGATGAAGTGTTGATTTGAAATAAATGAATGGTTAGTGCATAAAGCTGTGTGAAAGAATGCGCAGTGCAAGTTGGGGGATCTGTTCTAGTGTTTGTGAAGCGATAAACTTAGTAAATACAATGTATTTTTAAATTAGGCTATCTGTGGGCGAGGTGTGGTATTATAGGAAATTGTCTATCTACGTCGTGTGACAGCAAAGATTACGTTCATTAAAACACGACTGGAAAGGTGAACTCTGGAGAACATTGGCACTCCAAAGGTGTTGATTAAGCTACATCACTTCGGTCGTTGTTGCATTGCTGTAATACGAGACGTCTTTCACCATTCTTTCACTTTTGAAGTTGAGAGTATGTGCGATTAGTTAGGTTGAATAACTATTCGAGGCATGGTCAATTTGGAGGTTGGGCGTGGGGCTAAGAATCACTCATCGTAAGAGGTCTAAAATATTCTGTTACGAATTTGTACAAAGACTTAAGACTTGGATATTTTTGCGTGACCTTAAAATTCAAATTACAGAAATAGGGTGTGAAGAAGATTTAGTTTAGGGACTTTGGATGGGGTCTAGTGACGGGCTTCTGTGAAGGCTGGACCTTCGGTTGTCTGGTTAGAGGTAAACGCGACTAATGCGCTGTTGACAGGGACAAGTTATATGAATTACCAGCAGCGCACATATTCAATGACTAGGCGAAATAAGGGCGTGGAATGGATTTGTCTGGTTCAGCATAGGGCCCAGTGGCTGGAAGTTGTGAACACGGCAACTCACTTTTTGAGTTCCGTAGAAGAAGACTGTACCATAAAATTAGGTGAATCGTTTTCCAGAAATATTTCGAAGTTACCCCTTTTGATTAGCTGTTAGCCGCTCAGCCCGATTTTCTTTTGTAATCCCAATGTTCAGTACCTTATTCACAAGAGCCTACCGCTAACCTTGTCTGAACTTGGTGATGCCAATCCACAATCTCACACACTCTTTTATAATGCCATTAGCCTGTTCTCTACCTTACGCGCATTTCTCCCAAGTGGTCTCTTCCCCTCAGATTTTCAGACTATTATCTATACATGCATGCTACATTCCCCACCCATCTCATTATCCTTGGTTAGATAATCCTAATAATACAAGCGATGAAACCCTGCAGTTTCTCTGACTTCCGTTCACTTCTTCTCTGTTTTCAGCATCCTGTTCTTAAATTTCCCAGTTACGTGCTTTCCGTAATGTGTAAGACAAACCTGCCTTTAGCGTTGTGGGCTCTGTGTTTTTATCTTAACGTTTTCGGACTGAAGACGTAAAGGCGAACCATTCTGGTCTTTGTGGTAGCCGTTAGAAAGCCGATGTCTTTAAGAAGGCGAGTGAAGTTAGGCAGATTGTGTGACGCGTGTGAAGACCCTGTAATGGCTGTGACGTGCTGTCGCGGGATGGGTAGAAAGTTGTAATGCGATTACTTAATTAGGTAACGATGTAACTTCTGAAGATGTAATCTGAACGAGTCGAGTTTCATCACAGACTATTAAGCAAGCATTCGGCGCGTCGAATTTATAACAAGTGTTTGTAGGCCAATATTATGACGCGACTTATTACGGTGCATTCTGTCAGTCTGCTCATTTTTGTATGTGAGTGGGGCTCGAGCGAAACTTCCAAATGTGGTGAAACCGCCACCACATTATTCTATTCTTTTTGTTAGGCGTGAAGGATGTCGAAATTTACTATTTTAACGTGTTTCTATCATGAAAGTCAATTAACAACGCTGAATTTTTAATTCTTACAAGGTTTTTATCCAGTTTATTTACTTTTGAATAAACCACCATCTTTACACGTCAGTTTAAATGCATAAGTTTAACTCATAAGCGTCTGTCCTTCAACGTTACAGGTCTATAACCTAATCAGTTCAAAACCGCCGTTAAACAAGCAAACGAAGGAACGTATTTTCTACATTGGTCTGAAAGCTGTCAAGGTGGTTAAATGGTTGTTTTATGAATTCATTTTAGGATTGATTGATTGACTGATTCATTATTTTATAGGATATTTAGTGACACTGTTTCAGATACAAAGTTTACAAAACACCGAATGGGACGGAAGGTGATAATGAATGACTAGTGCATAGGAATTCGGATGTCGGAGGTTGATGCATGTTTCGATATATAGGCCTACTATCCCAGCGTTCCCCTTGAGAGAATGGTGAAAATCACATTTACCTGACTGGATATTTTAGGAATAATAGTGTGGAGCATTACCTCTAAGCTAGCCTGCTGGGTTATGTTCGAGAAAATATGACTCATTGGGATATCAGTTTTACCGCATAAAGCAGTTAGGCGTGTAAAGCTGCCTCGGCTTCGGAAAGCTTCTTATCTTCAGAATACATTTTTACAACGTGTTGTATGTAGTGCCTTGGAAGGAATATGTGATTGGAAGTGAGAAATGGTCCAATAAATACAGCCTAAGAAGATTTTTCCGACTCCAAGTGACCGAGTGTAAAAGAGAATGTGTTTAAATGTATAACATGCATTTCAGGATCTGCTGAATGCAAGTATCGGTTTATGAAATAGACGAAACATTTCTGAAACATTGCCACTTCTGCAATAACTGGATTTAAATTCAGTGTTATAAAATGTTTATGTCCAATTAGGCATGTCCTCGATAATGCCAGGGTTATAATTGCAGTCTGCATGAATTCAAAGTATGCCATAAAATCCTGGTAAAGTATACAGCGAAAATCTGCGGTGTGTAATGCTCATGAAGATATCGGTGATTACTTGGGGATGAGAACTCCAGTAGCTGCCACCAGGCGGCAGCAGCAATCTCGCCGTATTATGACGGCCATCACGAAATGCTGGAGCATTGTTTGGGTACGTTAATTCTCTTATATAAGTCGTGTTAATTTTTTAACCGTGTCATTCTATTGTTTAAGCTGCGTTAATAATTTTGCCTCACTTGTGAATGGCTTTCTGGAAGAATGTATTGTTTAACAAGAATAAGGTAGACAAAATAACTTGCTAGACGTAATCAGAGCCGGTAGGATAATATTAATATGGATCTGAATGACGTGTAATACAAGTATGTGTACTAGATGTGTGTGTTTCTGGATATTTACTATCAGTAGCGGGCTCCATGTCAACGTGGTAGTGAATCTTTGGGCTGACAGTACACATTCATTCTGAAAATGGTAACTGCAGTGTTTGCCGAAACGTTGGACAACTATCAGTTACTCAGCCCAGATCATAACATACCCTAAGAAATAGCTGTGTGGCTTGTAATAGATTCCGTTTCTCTCGTCATTTATAACGGAATTGTTTTTGTTTAAAAAACATGTACATAACTTTTTATGCTCGTATACAGTAGACTCATACCGCCACGGTGGTCTGGCGGTTAGAACGCTGGCCTTGTAATCCTGGGGTCTCGGGTTCGATTCCCGGCGGTGCCCGAATTTATAACTTGTGTTGGGCAAGGCCGTGGTCTAGGCAACACGGAGTTTTCCTCCGGGGGCATCCCAACAATTACTCCATTCACACACAGAAGAAGGCAATGGCAAACCACTTCTGGATCATCTGCCAAGAACGTATATGAACAGGTCCCAGTCCGAGAAAAGGATAGAAGGATCCTGTTCATATGGACCTGTCGTCTGACAGAACACTAAATAATAAATAATACAGTAGACTACTTGCACCTTATGCAGTTATATACAGTTCTCACTCTACAACTTACACTGCTGTCATGTTCGTAATGTTGAAGAGTAACTTCATGGAACGAAGTTCTTCTGGACTCGTTCAGCTAGCCAAAAAATTTCCCCGCCCTGGTATTGCACCGAAAGGTTAATTATTTTAATATTATTATTCCGTATGCGCCTAGGCCTTTCAAATGGTAATTTTCTTTCAGGATGTCTGATTAAATGTTTGAAACATTAGTTATCTTTCACATGCGAGATACGTGTCCAGCGTTTTTCATCCTCTTTTATCTGATCACCGTAATAATATCTGGCGTTTACAAGTTAAGAAGCTCGTCGTAATGAAATGTTGATGACAGTAATTCAAAAAGAGGGAAGATAGTGCGACCCCGATTACATGACATTTATAGTGTTCGTCCGGTCCACGTTCCGAGTGTGAAGTCAGTGCTGGTCGTCTATGTTTCAGGCGGAACTGTTGGACGCGTTAAGACGTCGAAGGGGTCGAGGAGACTGCACGAGTGAGGATGACGAGGACCTTGGGCTGCCCCACAGCCCGTGTAACTCACCGACAACTGCAGATGTGCTGCTGGAACAGGGACTTAAGGTAACGTTTCACCACAAATCACGTTTAGATAATGAAGGAATAACAAAACTCTTTGCGGCAGATGCAAGGAAGGTCCGAAAAATCAGGGCGTAGGCCTAAATAATTGAAAAGGACACATTATCTTCGGATCTGTGCTGATAATATTAATTTATTGGGCGTCAGAGGGCTAAAGAAAAACGTGTAACCTCTAGCCTACTAGATATTAACAAGGAATTTGGTTCTGGTTCGGATATAAACGGAGATAAAACGAGGCATATGTTCACGTCTCGTCTCCATATTTTAGGACAACGTGACAATGTAAAGACAGGTAATAAATCGTTTGAAAATGTGGCAAAGTTCAATGACTGGTGAAATAATGTACGAAATGCTACTTCGAGACAGTGAAGAGAAGATTAAAATCGGGGATTACTCGGCGTCTGTTCACTGTAGTCTAATTCATTTTCGTGTCTTTTATCTAAAAACCTATAGATTTAAATACACTGGATGACTCATTGCCAAACGCTGCGAGTTCTTTTGTTACAAGTCAAGGAATGCTACGTAATAAAACCAACTTCCTTGTACTATCGTCTTTGCTACCAGGAACCGGGACGTGACATTTGCGTGCCACTGTCATTTTACCTGTTGTACGACGCTATATAGTCTGAGCTACTGAAAAAGCGTCGATAAATAAGCTACAAATTTTCCTGTTGTGTCACTTGTGAAAGTTGAGTAAACTGTACGAACGTAAGGGTGAATTTATTCCAGTGGCTACTGAGTGGAGAAAAATACGGCCAGGCACAGGCCTCATACACATTATGCGTGTATTTTATTGTGCAAAGAACGCCTGGAATACTTACTCGCTGTTGGCGTATTGATGGCACACGTTGCTGATCAATCCCATGCTGTGATACGACAAAACGCGATGCAAGAGAGATCGCAACAGATTGACGGGTTTGTTTCGATCTTCTGACAGTTACTAATCTCTGACAAGAAATTTACTGAACTCTCATCAGGGGGTTTAATCCACAGAAAGATTGTGCAATGTGTTTAATAAATGTTATGTGGGCCAAAGTTGAGGATTATTAACAAGAGCTGTGAGATTTATATTAATAACGGGAACTCATGTCTTAGAATATTTGATTGACGTACTGTAATATTGAAATATTAGGCAGCTGAGTTTACCTAATCTCTGAGTTAAATATTTATCATTCCGGGCTCTTATTATTGATGTCCCTGATTTGACTTTCAGCCCAGAGGCATGACCTCCTGACTTTCTTAAAGTGTTTCGTGATTTTTCTCACTCTAGGCGCATGTTAGCACTAATATCTTAAATAGACCGTGACCGCTTCCTTCCATATCCTCCCCAATTCATCATTTGCAGCTATAAAAGGAATTCAGATGAGAAAAGTTCATTAGATAAAGCAAGCAACTAAGCAAACTACTGAAGTTGTATTGCTTTGGATAGATAAATTTGCCCTGAAGATAAAGTTTTAACATTTTAGACTTCATCCGTGTAGCATTTACGTGTTAAGTAGAGTCCTCATTCGATAAATGGGATTTACATTTGCGTGTTTTGCTTGTTATTTTAAATCCTGTCCATAGCAACGGGGTGAACGTAAGTTGAAGAAGTGGCCATAACATTTGGTTTCTCTAAACCCCTCAGCTGGGGAAGTTTGCATCAATGGAGTTCAGTGTTTCTGCTAATACATACAAGGTGGCAGAGTAATACGGTTTGTTTTGTTGGTGGGTCGGTGGTTGGTCGTGGGGTCATGATGTTTTAGTTTTCGTTTTTCATAGGAGCTTTGTCCTTAATTAATCTTCCGTTGGTCTCCCACTTTCGGTAACGGATATTTAATGTATTGTGTGCGTCTTACCAAGAAATGTGTAGGTTCATCCTACCGGTAAGTACCACAAAAAATACAAATCCCAGTTCGCGACTGTCGGCTCATTCTGAAATAAAATCTTCTTTATAGCAATAAATGTCATGTCCATGTTAATATTTATTGCATTCATACAATCCCCGCCCCCCGACACTCATATACACATGAAACAGGCTGACCTCAAAAGTTGACCTTTAATTAAATTTCTTTACCTCAGTCGGAATTTCAAAGACGAAGTTCTGTTGTGTGTGATTAACGAAGAAAGAAACGAAACTCGTGTAAGGCAGAGACCATGGCAATTCAATATGAGGACCAGTCCTGGGACCGTTACAGTCCTTTGGTTTAACGACCTCTGGCACTGGATGGTTCTGTTATCCGCGGAGCATGTGTTCTTGTGATAAGCTTTCCAAACACATGCTCCCCGTTAAAATGAAGGGAAGAGAGAAGGAAGCAGCGAATATGAAATGGAGAAGAAATAGCGTGGTGGAGTGGAGTAGGAAACAAAAGATGAATGGTAGAATCGAAGAAAGGTAAAAAATTTAAAAAAAAATTGAAAAAATTAAGGAAATTAAGAAAGAAGAAAGAAAGCATTACAGAATGCGGTGTTACTGAGCGGGCTGGCAGAGTTTGATTGATTGATTGATTCAGATGCAGATGTTATTTAGTGCTGAACATTGTTGAAAAGTTATGAATGGTTAAGGATTTTAAAGGCGCTACTCCTTTGTTCTTGAAACCGCGACGAACCAGAGTTAGGATCACCGGTAACCCAGCAGAGGTTCGAACCAGATATTTCTACTAACTAACTCCGTGTAACAAAGTCGTTTTTGACAAGATCAGCTGGTCACAAATTCCTTCTACTTTCATTTTAATATTATCCCTCCGTCTACGGCGCGGTCTTCCCTTGAAATTTTCAGAATAAAATTTCGTAGGCATTTCTAAATTTTCCCCATGCATTGTGATATTTACAGTAATATTTTGTGAACAGAACAAATTACGTCACGAAGCTCCTCATTGTGCGGTTGTCTCCATCTTCCTCTAACTGTCCCTCAGGCCCAAATATTCCGTCCGTTTTGCGAAGTATAATTGCGCTTCTCAGAAGAATACGCCAATCAGTCGAATGATGTCGTCAGTTCAACGCACGTTGTGAACCAGGCTTGAAATCGAATGTTTTAATGACTAGTTGTGTCGCCGCGAGCGATAGGGTCATAACGGGACCGACAACTCTCGCGCCTCGTTTTGTTCTGCCCCGTCGTGTCTCGCTTGTTTGTTGGTTCCGATTGTGGGTTGTCCGCTGCTCTTTTACTACGCACTCTGCTATTGTGCTGGGCAAATACTGAGCCTC